CTCTCTCTCTCTCTCTCTCTCTCTCTACCTCCCATCCCTCTATTAACGTGTCGCTGGCTACAGCTGAACTATAAATAGCCGTCTACCCACGGAGATCGCCGAGGTGACAATACGTGTACCCAAACACGCCTCCCATGTGATGTGGACATTAAAGTCATGTGACTCACACAAGTACTAGGAGCGTCATTTATTTCAAGCCCTGTTTCTATTTTTTTTGCTCTGCAGATGGGCAAGCTATAAAAGCGATAAATACATCGAGTGCCTCCCCATATCGTGAATGGACCAGTAGGAGATAATCATTGAAAACGGCACAACAGACCCGACATCTGAACTGCGCAACACCAAGACACAAGGTTTTACAATTTACAGGACTTTGCCACAAAAGATTTCATCAGACTTTGACTCTTTAAAATCTACTCAGGAACGTGTTCTTATTCATTTTTAATTGTGAAAATTCATTTTATTGTTTTGTACATGCTTCTGAACCCAAAGGGAGCATAGAAGTGAAACGCACGGAGTTACAATAAATAGTAAAACGGACCAGGAATCATTCCAGTACAATGTTTCCTTGAAGAAGCTAGATTTTCCAAGTGTTTTAGCGCTAAGTTTCAATCATTATTAATATAGAAAACCTTATTTTCACCGCAAAAGACTGGACTGACGCCACCACAGATTCAGATTCGTCTCCAAATTCTCACCCGTATCTCAAAATCAAACAGCCAACGACGTTTTCAACGTCTCTATGACAACAGAACAGCGTCATTCTCACAGCATGCAGCAATCAGATTCCAACTACGAGCAGAAAATGTCCTCAGAGGAGTCCTCTGATCTTGACCCAGTGTCCGCCCTCCTCGGTGAGCACCCCACCATCTGGGTATTTGGCTACGGCTCGTTACTATGGAAACCAGATTTCCAGTACAGATCCAAGCACATTGGTTACATCGAAGGTTACACCAGGAGGTTTCACCAAGGGAACGAAACCTTCCGAGGCAGACCTGGAAAAGTGAGTTTCTCATTCATCTATCGATCTGTTTTATTGAGCCTATTGATTATGTGTAGTGTGAATATACCGCCCTTTTCAAACGGTGGTTTTTGATCCTATGTTGGAAACGTACAAAGGAAACAATTACAAGTGCTCTTATCACTTGTTTGCAAAGTGTATGGTTATTCAATAAGATTCATAGTGCATGCTTGTGTATATGCGCACATTACGCAGGATGTATGCTTATCATGTGTGCATGAGAAAGGCGGAAAGAAATGGACTATGAAAGGGGGGGGGGGTACAAAAAAAAAGACGATTACAGTGTGAGTAAAGGCATGTGCGCACAAGTTTATGTGCTCCTGCGCGTGTGTGAACGTGTATGAATGTATACGGTTTTTAAATCATTGGGTGTAAATCTTGTAATCAATCGCTAAAGTTTGAGGACAGTTCAAACACGCAGAGACGGGAGATTTCAGTAGTGCTACTAGAGGAAAGTCAAACTGTTGTTGATGTTTTTCAGAGACAGGCTAGTTCGACCCTGCCTTAAGACAAAGGGACTTACATAGATGTATTCGTTTGAGATGATTGATTTTAGATGACGTGGGGTTCACATCTCCTTAAATACTGAAGAATGTCTACTTTGGAGACAAAGCCTCAGGTTCCATGTTCGATGTGACTGATCAGTGATACGACCTAGACTACTCGATTTTAAAAAGAAAACAATCAACCTATTACAATCAAAAAGGCAATCTGCACAACAGCTATCTATGATAACAGTGGAGTAGTCGAGACTCCATGAAATTCCCTTCAGAACCGAGAAAATCACTGTTCGCTGTGCAAACATGATGCCTCAAGAGAGTTTCCCCGAATATATAATTTTTCGAATATTTTAATGAAATGTAAAGTTGAAGTGCAATGACAGGAAAGTGTTTAACTGAAACCACTCTTGATTCTTCTTTCTCTTACAGCCTGGTCGAGTTGCTAATCTAGAGGAGCAAGAAGGGGTAAGTTCAGTTCATTTCTATTACATGTATCGTCTTAGTTGTTCAGCCCGCACTACCATCTGTACCTAAAGGCTCTGCACACATTACCATTAGTACTCCACCTCTGTCAGGGGCTCAGCACTGTTTTGATTCCCTAGACTACCACCTTCACCACCACCCTTCTCTTCTGGAAAATACACAATTCTACGAGGCTGTCTAAAAGTTTCTTTCTTTTACTGCAAAACTGACATCGTTGCGAAATATTTTCCAAATATGGAATAAACTTGGGCTGATAACAGCACTGAAAGGAGTTAGATTCCACTGAGTTTGATCCTGATTGTTGATGCACTACGTTACGAGGCTCCGGACTCATACTATACGAAGCCAGCCGTTGAGGTAAAACTGGTTCACGATAACTTGCAAACTTCTAGACATGTATTGTTTAAATCCCTGTTCTGACACGGCCTATATTTCATCATGTCTTGAATATCAATTTTGTCTCTCAACCTTATCTCCGCAAAAAGATGTTCTATGAATTTGAAACGTACTTTCTGTGTCTGTGATGAATTTTGACTTATACACAAACAACCAAAATAACCAAGCTGTTTTCCTTTTTTTCTTCCCCACAGAGCCAGACATGGGGCGTGGCCTATGAGATCAGCGGTCGTGAGGAAGTAGCCAGCGTGCTCCAGGCTCTGTACACACGCGAGACGGCCTGTGGCGGCTACACCACTCTCATCACCACGTTCTTCCCGCGGGAGTACAGCACACACCGGAGACCGGCCTCCCTCCCCCCAGACCACACCCAGACTCACACCGCACAACCACACAACATACCTCAAAACATGCCTCAAACTGTCCCGTGTTACACCCCGGGTCTTCAGCCACACTATGTCACTGAATCGTCAACGTCCTTGACCTCTGTTGAAGATGTAGACATCGGTGCCACGAGCTCCGACATAGACTCTAGTCTGTCAGCCGAAGACGTGAGAAGACTCTTCGGTGACCATTCTCCTCCTGCCCAACTCAGAAGAACTGATTCGGATATTTCGGACTTTAGCAACAGTGATGTATCGTCTATCGGTGACGAAGAGCAAGATGTGTCTGTCTATATAGGAGAGGATACTTCAGAAGAGGAGAAAAGTGTGAACCCACAAAGGTTTTTTGATACCGAAGTGACCTCGACTTTTAACAGTCTCTATGAGAATATGGATGAAACGGACCATGACGAACTTGTGTTTTATATAGACCGAAATAAACCAAGTAAGGAATCGGTACCCATGACTCTAGAACCTGTAAGTCTATCGGGGGACACGAAGGAGGGTCAAAAGCCTAAGGCAGTTCATGCTCAGCGAAGGTACACAAAATCAAAATCTTTGACGGAGAGTAAAAAGGCTGCCCAATCCAGGTTATCTCCTATTCAAGCTTTGGTGTATACGGCTACCCCTGACAACGATTTGTATCTCGGTCCTGGTGACATCACAAGTATGGCGCAGCAAATCTCTACAGCTTCCGGTTCTACCGGCACCAATGTTGAGTACGTCACGAAAATCGCTGACTACGTGCGTCAATATATTCCTGAAGATAATGACACACACCTTTTTGCTCTTGACGCAAAGATTAGGGAGGAGGTTTACAAACAGCATGCCAAACGGCGACTTAGCCAGCAGACAGATCTACACCATTTCCTTCCAGAACTGAATGACATCGAACATGAAAGTCTTACAGAGACCGTCACGGCGTCGTAAATGGGCAAAAGGATATGGTGTATATCGTCGACAAGGTATTAAATGTACTCAGCTTAGTAAACATTTTTCCGAAGAAAGAAAAAAAACGGTTTCATTCTTTTAACAATGTGTACCGAAATTACGTATCTTTACTTGCATTTCTCAACTTTTACATTTTAGATATTCTTTGAGCACATGCTACCTATGCCACAAATTAAGAAACTATAATTCTACCCCCAAAAATCTAAAACCTGGACTTAGTACATTTTTGCAGCTGGCCGACGATATGTGTTTACTGGCATGGATTGGTAAAATCATGTCGTTGCTTACAGCGTAAAGAAGACATGCTTTCACTGCCCATAAAAGTACTTTACAAAAGTATCTCCATTCTACAGAGAACGAGTAATAGTTGCGCATTAGGTTTATTGCTTCCAACTAACGCTGTCCCTGATTCTTTCTTATGCAGTTCTGCCATGAAAGTAAGCAAAAAGGCAATGCGTATTCTGCTTTTAGTACCGGCTTTAAAGCAAGCAGGACAACAAGGAAAGGTCACAAGAACGTTACTGATATGAAAGAGGGTAACCTCTATGGTGTAGAGTGTGGGCTCTCTTCTTCTTCTTTCGATGAATAAGACTTCAGTAATACAGAAGTCTGTCTAATTTTATCAAGCGTCGTTGTCTTTCACTTTGAATTCCGAGTCCCTTTCAAACAAGATAGTCTATGAAAGGCAAGCTCGAGTTATGTGAACTGTGTCAGCGGGGACGTAAAATACGAAGAATCAATCACCGAATCAATTATTGATCTTCACTAGTTGCAGACAGAGTCATGGGCTCAGTAAATCTTTGTTCAGCAACATATTTATTTAAACGTGAAACACTGTCTGTGGCCTGTTTGTGTAAAAATAAATTTTGAAAAGACGCGTTGATATGATTCTCATTTTTTGTTGGACTTTACCTTTCTCCTTTCCTTCGTAAGAAATAAGTTCACTCTTTCGTCCTTTCACTTAAATCATTTCTGACTGTGTTAATTTAGTTCCATAATATTATACATCAATTAAAGACGACCCGGTAAAATGCTTCAACATTCCGGTACAAAAACTTGTACACGCTACGGCTGTTTGATAGCTGTGTGCAAATGGATTCTAATATCTATGTTTGTTTCATGTTTATTAATTTTTTTAAGTACTTACTGTGCCAACACCAAAGTGTGAATAGCAATAGAATCTCAACTTCCTTTAGTAGGTTTATATCTTTTGTTATGAATGTTTAAGTGCCGAACGTTCTGTGAGGAATATGAATTTGGTTTATCTAGTCACATAATAAAGGTAGGCTTGTACTAATTTAATCAAAGTTCAGATCACAGTATTGCCATGTTTTGTGCCAATGTTGAAACGATTTATTGATTGTCATAAATGGCGCATAGTTGCCGGACCAAGCTTCGTCTTGTAGAACCTATGTGTGTTATCAAAAAATGAGACCAATAAAAAGGTTACAGGTAAAGTAATTCAATTCTGGTTACAACTATCTCGAAATGTGTTGGGTTTTTTTCAGTTCAATTTTAAGTCACATTAGCTATTTTGGTTTCCTCTATGTTCCCGTAGTTCGAACATTATAACGTTTTTATACTCAAGACTTGAAAAAAAAATTTTGAACGCCACATATGACAAATTAATTACTTTTAAATGTAAGTCTTTTAACAACAACTGCATTTTACTTGCGGCCTAAGTTAACACATTTCGTGAGTGTATGGAGCCGTCATGATGCAAAGTGATTTTTATTCGTTGTCTTTTTTTAAATCTTTGTGCTCCTTTCTGTTGTTTTCAGAAAGTTGAATAGTGTGTGTTTTATACAAATCAGTTATTTATGAAAAAAGCACAAACTTGTATTTAAAAGTAAGTACGATATTATGTTTATCATCTTTTCGCTCGCTCATGTAAAGCAATGTAAATTCGTTGTCTTTTTCAACCTCTTTGTGTAGCTTTCTGTTGTTTCCAGAAAGCAAATAGTGATTGTTATACAAATCTGTTATTTATGAGAAAGCACATACGTTTATTTATTAATACGAAATGCTTGCCAACGTTTTGCAGGCTCCACATTCAGTCGACAGTGCAAATACTGGCTTTGATCAGTAGTTTCTTCTACCTTAGAACTGCTGGTAAATCAAGCTTTGTCTTTCATCTTTTACATTGATATATAACGTGCATGAAGTTAAGATCTTTATTAGAACAGCAATACATATTTAGTTTTACTCCTTCTCGCTATAAGTTGAGAGAAGTAAATTGTAAAACTTAATTTCCTTGTACGTTGTGATGGTCGTGGTCTGTTGTTGTCTTCTTTTTTTTCATTGTCCTGCCATCCGTGCTTTCGTTCGAATACTGCAAAGTGTTGCACTGAAATGTATACAGACTTTGATAATTGCCTACCTCCTTTGTATTTCCGTTCATGTTGCAAAAGATGACTCTTTCAATAAATTAGAATTATAATTAGTTAGCACAAAAGGCTGCAAAACATAGCAGTGAAGGAGACGAACGTACTGCCTGTTTTTCATAATCTTACTAGATCAATGCAGGATTCTTATTTCCGAGCGCTTTGGAGTCAAGCAGAAAACCTAAGCATGGTTTGTTTAGGTAGAGATTGTTGGTGGCATCTTTCCACACAATTCTTTAGCTCGTTCTTTTTGCTTACTATAATAATTATCTTTCTTTGCGTGGATGTGTTTGTGTGAGTGTGTTTGTGAAAGTATGCACGCGTGTATGTGTTTATGCGTGTGTTTGAGGGGGGG